ACTGGAGTTTATTGTGGAATTTAGCATAGTATATTTTGGCAATTTGATTTAAAGTTTGTACTTTAAGATCTTTGTGAAGATTATTGTTCGTTATGTACCAGGGTGCAGAGGAAAGTAGACGGAGGCAGATGGATTGAAAGGCTTGAATTTGTTTGGTGTTGGAGGGTTTTGCGGTTCCCCATAACTGGATACCGTAGGTCCATAGTGGTTTAAGTAGAGACTTATAAATTAATAATTTGTTATTTATGTTCATTTTAGATCGCAGGAGAGGCCTTAATAAATGAAGACGGGCGTTTAGAGTTTTACGTTTGTTTTTAATATGGGAATTCCAAGTTAGTTTACTATCTAATATAAGGCCTAACGATTTTACCTCGGAGCAAACAGGGATTGAAATATTGTTCATCGTAACTTGTGGCCATGTTCCTCTTTTTAGCGTAAATGTAATGAATGAGGACTTAGATTCATTTATTTTGATTTTCCATCGCTTTGACCATTGATGGATTATATTAAGGTGTCTTTGAATCATTTTGGAAGCTGTAGCAGGATTTTCATGAGAAGCCACGATTGCAGTATCATCAGCGTAGGTACCGAGTTCGGTAAATGATGTTTTAGGAATGTCATGAGTAAATACGTTGTATAGGAAGGGAGCGATGTCGCTGCCTTGGGGAACTCCGGCTAAAATATTAAAATAGTTCGAGTAGCTCGAATTCTGGCGTACAAATAAGATTCGGTCGCTCAGGTAGGACTTAATTAGTAGAAAGTAAGGCGCTGGAAGAAATTTTTTTAGTTTAAACAGGAGACTATCGTGCCAGACCCTGTCAAACTCTTGAGATACATCAAGAAAGGTGGCTGCACAAAATTGTTTTTTTTCTAAAGACGAGTAAATGGTATCAACCACGCGATGCAATTGGTGAATGGTGGAATGGTTTGGCTTGAAGCCAAATTGCGTATCTGGAATAATTTTTGCTTCGGTAGCCAAAGGGAGAAGCCTTTTTAGTAGGATCTTTTCGAACACTTTCGATAAAGTTGGAAGAAGGCTGATAGGGCGGTAAGAGGTTGCTGATTCGGGAGGTTTATTTGGTTTAGGGATAAGTATTATTTCAGAGAATTTCCAGGTTAGTGGGTAGTATGATAGGCGGAACATTGCATTATAAATATAAGATAAAAGGATAATTACTTTTTTTGGTAAGTTTTTGGCAGTTAGATTTGAAATCTGATCATAACCCGGAGCTTTTTTTTATGGAGTTTTTATATTATAAGTCGATTTCACCGGGATTAGTAGGTTTGGCTGGAAGAGAAACGGGTAAAGCAGCGTTCAATGATTGATTGATTATTAGATTTTGGTTGTTATTTAAAATTATATCATGGGGTGTAAAGATTTTTGATAAGTATTCGCCGAATAAATTTGCTTTATCTATATCAGAAATATCCCACGAGTTGTCTTCATTGCGCAAAAGAGAAGGAGTTGATTGAGTTTTTAAAATTTTTTTTGTTGCTCTCCAGAATGAAGAGTTTTGCGATGTTAGATTTTGGATATATTTATTATAGGTGGAGGAGCTCTGTTGAAGAAGTGCTTTACTCAATTTATTTTTAAGTTGATTATAAATAAGTTTATCGGGCGGGACTTGTGACTTTGCCAGCGAGATCTTGCTTTACGTTTTTCGCGAATGAGGCATTTGATATGATTCTGGAGAGGGTAATTGGTAGTGTGTGTTGAGCTGGGAGTTGTTGCTAATTGTAAACATTCGTGTATATCAGTTGTGAGCTTAAGGATTGTTGCATCAATGTCTTCGTTTGATTTTAAAGAGAGATTGAGCTGAGTACGGGTTTCAATGGTTGTTTGGAAAATGGGCCAATCGATTTTTCCATGTATTTGGGGATTTTTTACAAGATTATTTGAAGGAGGTGATTTGAATTCGAAAATGATTGGTGAATGGTCGGATGATACGTCATTTATACTGGAGACGTTAAGATTATAGTTATTTGGGACTTTTTCTATGAAGATATCGAGGATATCAGGGCGCCTGTTCTGGTGGGAGGGCCAATATGTAGGCAGAGGGGGTGGTAGAATTTTTATGTTTGAATTATCTATTGCACGAAGGAGGGTTCTGCCCCTAGTGTTGGTTGCAAAACAGCCCCACGACGAGTGTTTGGCGTTGAGATCACCAGCGACGATAAAATATTTAACTAGTGTTTTAAAAAAGTTATAAAATATTAATTATATCCTTTGATAATTTCTTTTTTAAACGATGTTGAACAAATAATATTGTATTATTATATAAACTTTTAAATAATCAAAATAATTAAGTTTAAAGAAAAAAGAAAATTTTTGAAAACATTGAATATTGATCATTTTCTTGTATTGTCCTGAACGTATTACAGCCAATGAGATCTCTCGATTTTCTATGGGTTTCTAGAAATGTACAGTAGGTATGCTTATAATATTACTGAGGACACGGACAGGACGGGGTTGAGTTCTATGCCTGAAGTCACTTCGACTTATAAACCTACTTATATAATATTTCATGTTTTAATTTATATATTTGATACTTTGTATGTTAAGGGATACTTTTCTTCTGAGTTATATAATATATGATATTGATATAACTCGAACACCAAATGAACCAATTCGTTCACTAAGATTGGGATCGTGACTATTATAGTAAGCTCTGAATAATGTACTTATTCAAATTCAAATTTTTGGAATTTTTAAATAATACACTAATCAATGACCATATTTTCAAATTCTTAGGATTTTTGTACAACTCAGAAAACTTCTGTTTTTCAACTGATAACTTCCCCTGTTTGATTTAAACAAATTATAAAGTGGATATTTTTTCTGAAGTATTGTTTGAAAGTTATCTATTACAATGTCTACGTTATAGATAAGTGTCTTAAAAAATATTTTTACAATAGCAAAACATTTATGTAATATCGGATATGGTAGTCATATATACCAATTTCATCAATTTTAAATACTGATGGATTCATATTATTATAAATTATGAAAACATTTTAACTACCTAAATATCTTCCTGGCCAGTTATTGTGGACCTGGTATCATTAGTGCACAATGTGTGGAGAACAAAAGTTTGTATCAATACACTCTATCAGAAGTAAAAAAAATCCCATCAATTTTAAATTATGGTCATTATTATTATTTAAGGAAAAATGTGGGGTAACATGCGTGGGGAATCACTCTGAACACATATATTTTATATAAATATCAAATTCATTTTGAGATGCACAGTGTTTCACAAAACAAATTAATGGTAATAAATAATAAATAATCATAAAAAGTAGTTGGTGTAAAATTCTGGAAATAGATCGAACAAAAAATGACAAAATACCAAACATTTATATACTATAATTATATAAATATAATATTACTATACTATATTGATAATTTATACACTCAACATTTAAACTGAAGTAAAAATATAACATTTTTAATATACCTACAAATATTCATATTTTTGTTACCAAGATAAGTTTATGGACAATTTCATATTTCAATTTTTTTATTTTTATTTTCTATGAATATCAATACAGTTTTATCTGTTGGGCCAAAAAGTGTAAAAATTGAATCAAGGCTCCCGATACATTGTTACAATATCAGTTGAAAAATATTAAAAATACATAGGCACAATTTTTTTTATAAGCATTTAAAGATCGAATTTTGACAAAATTTATCAAATTGAAAATTGAAAAATTTATAAAATGTTCAACTTTTATATCCAAGGAAAATTTTAAACATGATTGCACGTAAGTTGTTAATTCTTTTACCAATAAATCTTAAAAATACACAAGCACAGTTTATTTTTATAGTCGTTTTAAGATCAAATTTGGACGAAATTACATATTAAATACCTAGAATAACTATTTTAGTTATTTTTTTGTGATTGTATAATATTATTCGTGGGTACTTGAAACTTCTAAAGTACACTATTATATGTCTATAATAGTATCACGGTTTTTCGTTGATGTATAACGCTTTATAAGTAACTAATGGATATTGTGATATGATTAATTTGAAATTTATTATAGGTACCTATTATATTTATTTATTTATTTATTTATAATATATAAACGCCAAATGGCAATTTTAAATTATTACATTAAGTTTAAAATTAATAGATATAACAATAATATAATACAAATTCACACAAAATTAGAACATATGGAAAAACACAACATAATATAAACTAAATGGTAATACCTTAATTTAGTAATGTATAACTATGATACAACATATTTATAAATTATATTATTTAATTACTTATTAAAATCAAAATTAAGATTGTTCAGATTACGAAGCATTCTGTGCAAGGGGTGATTATGTCCGTATAATGTACTGTGAGTTGGAACTTGGAAGAGTGCGTGATTTCTGGAGACGAAGGAAGGGATACGAAAACATATTTTAGAGAGGAGATCGGGTGCATCTATGGTGCCACCTAGGAGCGAGGTTAAAAAGCGCTCATCAGTATCTTGTCGACGAGTTGACAGCATTGGTATACCCAATGAACTACGAATTAAGGAATAGTCATGCGTTGGGTGAGGTATCTTCATTATGTAGGCAATGTAGGAAAGAAATCTATTTTGTACACGCTCGAGTCTTAGTTCGTCTTTAGCTAGGTAGGGATGCCACACTACCACACCGTATTCTAATATAGAACGTACTAATGAGAAGTATAATGTGCAGAGACAACGAGCAGAAGAAAACTGACTAGTATTGCGTTTAATAAAACCCAATACTTTTAAAGCTTTACCTACAGTGACATTAATATGGTGCTCAAAATTTAATGATGGTGAGTAATGAATACCAAGATCTTTATAGAGGAAGACACGGTTAAGAGAAGTGCCATTAAGAGAATAGTTGCGGTGGAAGGAGATCGCTGCCTAGAAAACGACATAACATGACATTTGCTTATATTAAGGCTAAGACCAATGGAGTACGCCCAACTTGCAAAAATATCTAGTTCAGACTGTAGGATATGACATTAATTAAGATTGTCTATTTTAAGGAATATTTTTATATCATCAGCAAAAAGAAGGAGTTTAGTGATCCATTTGGTTATCGAGTTCACAAACAGAATAAATAAATGAGGACTAAGGTGGCTTCCTTGAGGGACTCCAGATGGTATAACAGCTAACTCCGAAACAGCATTTTTGATTTTTATGAATTGTTTTCTACCTGTGATGTAAGAGTGCAACCAAGATAGTAGGGGATTCCCAATGCCTAAAGACTCAAGCACTATTATAAGGCAATCGTGGTCCACTTTGTCAAATGCTTTATTAAAGTCTGTAAAGATTACATCTACCTGACCTCTGTGTTCGATAACTTCTGATAAATAAGAGGAGAAGGCAACACCACTTGTAACGGTTGATTTATGCGATCTAAAACCATGCTGCTCACTTATAATAAGATGATTAAGACTACGCTTTATTCTGGAGTATACAATCGATTCGAATAATTTACCAATATGTGGTATTATAGAAATTGGTCTGTAGTTTTGGATATCAGAAGCGTCACCAGATTTCAGAACAGGTGCTATAGAGGATATTTTCCAAACCTTAGGAAAAATACCTAAATCTAATGAACGCCTGAATAGTAAATATATTGGATAAGCAATAGAAAAACGACAATTGTACAAGCATTGAGCGGATATGTCATCTGGACCATTAGAGTAAGTATTTTTTAACGATTTAAGAGCGGAAAAAACATCGTCGACAGAAAACGTTATATCGGAAAGAAGTTCATAGGATAAGTAATCAGATGAGCCAGTAAATGGTGAAAGTTGGAAAGCCGAGGAGTTGAACGTTGAAGAGAAATAAGTTGAAAACAGATTAGCTGATTCAGTTGGAGTATTTGAGGCAATATTACCGAGATGGAGTGATGACGGAATTGGAGGTTTCTGTTTTAGATTATTTACAAATTTCCAGAATTTGGAGGGGGAAGATGATAGAGCCTCCTCGGTATGCCTAATATGAGCAGAGTAATCAACTTTTGACTGGCGTTTACATTTTGCTCTATATTCAGAGAAAACAAGATAATCAGATATCGACTTGGTTCGCTTATAAACAGCATGGGCTTTCTTCTTGGTTATTATAAGATTTTTTAGAATGGTGGATGTCCATTTAGGAAATTTAAAAGGTGAAAAAACTTTGATGGGAACAAACTTATTTATAGAGCTTAAAAGTGCATCGTTAAAGACAACAGCAGAATCATCAACTGAATAAAGCATTTTCCCAAATAAAGTATTTTCCCAATCAAACGATCCTAGATAACGGAGCATGGATTTATAATCAGCCGATTTAAAATCACGGTATGTATGTGTGTCTTGAGCAGTTATCGGAGTTGGAAATGGAAAAGATACAAACAAAGGTGGGTGGTAAGAATCCGGAGAAACGATTGGAGTGTTGGCAAGTTGGACAGTAGGTGTGTCAAAACTAGAAAAGACAAGATCAAGAAGGCATCCACGGGCATTAGGCACTTGGTTGAGCTGGTAAAAATTATAGTACGAGAAAGAATCGACAAGATGAGTAGAAGTGTTAGACATGGTACCAGATGCGAAAAGACCTTGGTTGCTTTTAGACCATTTAATAAGAGGTAGATTATAGTCACCACAGAGAAGAATAGATGTAGGGTTGGTAGATGATATTAAGTGTTCGATAGAGCTGGTATGGGCCTCAAAATCTGGGAGCGTGAACATAGGTGGTAAGTAAACTGCACCTATAAGAATTTTAAATGAATTAATGGACAGAAGGGTATATACTAGCTCGAGCGTGTTGAGGTTTGTACAGATAAGAGATGTTTTAATATAAGACTTGATTGCAATGAGAACACCACCTCCTCGTGAGTAGTTACTGTTAAGATAATTTCTGTCAAAAAAATATTTCAATATTTAATATGTATATAATAATATGTCTTAAACCTAGACTGACGTACCGTCTCCGCTCAGAATCGTTTTTCCTATACAATGATATTATATCATTGAATTCAAATTTAATATCATCCATTATACAGTGACCCACTTGTAACCTTCTGTACAGCAGAGCACCTTTTTCTTAATGAAACCTTTAAACCATGTTATTTAAATATTGATTCAAAATATTTGTTTTACCATCACATCTGAATAGGATGTAGGTAAAATAATAGTTTATTAAAAATACACTTTTATAATGTATGGTAGCTAATTAATTACTTAGTAAATAGGTACTTATATAAAAAAAAATGTAAGATCCATGTTAGGTACTTAGGTTTAAAGTAAATTTAACTGATATTTAACTAAGTTAAGTAACTTATTTTTCTATTCATCTTGCATCTTCTTCAAGTACAAATTAAGCTACTTTTGACTTGAAACTTAACTTTTATTTTTCTATACTAACTTAACAGAATAAAAAAATGGGGCAAGTTGCCAAGTTGCCAAATTTTGTAATAAAATAGTCATTTATTCAAAAATGTAGGTATATAAAAGTATATAATATTATTATATATAATATAGAAGTATAAGAATATATTTTATTTTATTCCTTTTTTAACACGTCATACATTTATTGTATCCTTAATATTTTATTTTGTTCAAATACTTTTGTCAATACTGCAATAAAAGACGATTGGCGTTAATTATATATAAATACAAAATTATGAAAGTCTATAATATGTGTACATAGGTAGATATAAACCTAATATTTTAATACGAGATTTACAAAATTTTAACTTTGCTAAATTAAAAATATAGTTAATCATGGCATATTAAAGACATAGCTATCAATACAGTTCATATCCTAGGTACCTACCTACAAACAAATTTCATATCTCTAAATACATGTAAGAGTATAAAAATTAAAAATATGATATGGTTTTTATTAAAATAATTATTATAGGTACCTACCTACTTGTTTATTATAGCCACAAATTGAAATATAGGATATTTATAAATAATAGCCTATATACCTAATCTATATTAAATATAAAACATACCTGATATTATCATCTACTTGTAAGCAATATATATCATATTACAATTTATAACATAATACAATAATAGTCATTGATTAGTGTTATCGAAAAATAGATTTTACTGTATTCATAAAAATATTACAATATCTATTGCATTTACCTAAACGTCGGTATAGAATATTTTATACTTTAATAAATCATTTAATTTAACACTGGCCCAACTTAAAATATAATTAATAATTATTATAATTATGACAACAACAGTCAACCGCAACAACAACAATAATAATATATTGTATTATAATTTATTGTAATTAAACACTTTTATTAATAATTAAATAAAAAATATTAGTACCTATATATAATAATATATATTATATGCACTTTTATATTGGTACATTTTAGTTTGACAGGCATAATGACAGGATAGTAGTGGATAGATCACCTCATAATATTGCCTTACTAAAAATATATTACATTTATATTTATATTTTGTTAATAACTGAAACTCAAACAAATTATTAAGATTATTATAACTATTATTATTAAATCATAAAAGTTGAGTGTTAAATTCAAAGGCTGACATATAATAATTGTAAATTATACAATACTTAATGTCCAGGAATAATATTTTATGAACATTTGTGAGTATTTACCACTTTTACATAAATGTAATATTTTCTATGATTAGAAAAGATTAAAACAAAAAAAAAATTAAGGGAAAACTGAGGTTTTTTACGTAAAACCAGTTTTCGACAAATTAGATTTTAATTTTTAGTAACTTATAATACACAATAGGTATGACGTTTTCTCATAATTTTTTTTTTTTTTTGATCCTTAAGCCCGGTTTCAGAATGTTCAAATTATTATTTTCTATGCACCATACAATTTTTAAAACGTTGAACTCTTTTTGAGCGATTTATTGACAACGGATAATTTCAATTTTTATAAGTTTTCTACAAAAAATGTTTTCTTTTTCAAAAAACTAGAAAATTAAGTGCAAGGTTGGTTCTTCATAAGTTTTTGGTGGAAACTAAAAAAAAGAGTTGAGCGTAAATGCACAATATTTTTTTATGAAAGTCTGAAGTAAGAATTTTCAAAAAATAATGAAAATTTGCAAATTATTTTAGCTAGAAATCCATACAAAAATATATTAATTTGAATAAAATTTTAGATTCTGAGTGAAACGATGAATGTATTGATTTTACAATGATGTGTTTTTTTATTTTTTTTTTTTTTGTGTCTGTGTACACGATAAGTAGTCGAAATAATGCTTCGATTTTCGACTTCAGTATCTTGTTCGATTGGAAAGTGAATAACGTTGGTGCATTGGGAAGGTCAAAATTTAAATTTCACAGTAGTTTTCAAAAGCGCCGGGAAAAACAAAAGAAAAATTAAGGAAAAACGGGAATTTTTACTCAAAATCTGTTTTCGAGAAAATCGATTTTGGTTTTTGGTGTAACTTTAAAACAAATGACCGTAGATACATGAAATTTTCAATGGTTGTTTATATTTGCATTTTCTATACGCGATAACATTTTCAAAATATTTTGAACTGTTTAGGGACATTTCCAGTTTCCAATTTTATTAGTTTTTTTTTTTTATGAATATTAATAAAAATGTATTTATTGAGTAAAAATACTTGAAAATTTAATACAAGGCTCCTACTATATTGTTTCAAAGACAGATGAAAAATATTAAAAATCGTTAGTCACAGTTCTTTTTTTTAAGCATTTAAAGTTCAAAAAATGACAAAATATGGAAAAATCACGAAAATTTGCAAATTATTTTGAGTTAGAAATTCATAAAAAATTTTCTTTTTAAATCTAAGATATGAAAATGTAATACAAGATTCCTTATAAAATTTCATACATTTATCAAAAAAAAAAAAATTCTAAAAGAAAGTCAAGTTAAATTTTTATGAGCGTTTGAAATTCAAATTTTTACAACATAAGCTGATCCCGTGCACTTCGTTGCCCAATACAACTCTATATGAATAATATATGTTTTTTCTTATAATATAACTGTTACCAATTACCATAACAACAATTTTAAACTAATAGTAACCAATAATTATTATTATTATAGCTTTGAAACCAACGGCAACCATTTATATACAAAACATTCCATCGGAAATTTAAAAATAATAAATACATATATGGTTGCTATGGTAATATGGACACACACACACTGACATACATTCTTTGTTATATATATATAGATTGGATATTCACTCGATTTCTCATGTAGCGATTTCCTTATTTTGTTGTAATTCAAAAACGAATTACTGTAGATACATGAAAATTTCACTGAATATTTATATTAGCATTTCCTATACACCATGAAATTTTGAAAATAATTTGACTCTTTTTGAGCCGTTTACGGACATTTTCAGTTTTCAATTTTTTTAGTTTTTTTTTTCTATAAATATCAATAAAGTTTTATCTGTTGGGCCAAAAAGTGTAAGAAATTAATACAAGGCTCCTGATATATTGTCACAATAGCAATTGAAAAATATTAAAAATACATAGGCACAATTTTTTTTTATAAGCATTTAAAGATCGCATTTTGACAAAATTTATCAAAATCTCGAAAATTATCAATCATCGTAATTAATAAATCATAAAATGTTCAGTTTTTATAGCTAAGGATTGAAAATTTTAAAAAAAGATTCTCATAAATACTTCATACTGTAGCCAAAAAATCTAAAAAATATATGACCACAGTTATTTTTTACAGACATTTTAAGTTCAAATTTGGGACGAAATTACATATTAAAAAACCTAGCATACCTATTTTCGTTATTTTGTTGTGAGTGTATAATACTATTCGTGGGTACTTGAAACTTCTAAAGTACACTATATTATATATCTATGATAGTATCAGGGTTTGTTATTGATGTATAACATGTTATAAGTATCTAATGGATATTGTGATATGATTAATTTGGAATTTATTATAGGTCAATTTTTTTTTTAATACCATAGATATGTATATAATATGTCTTAAACCTAGACTGACATACCGTCTCCGCTTAGAATCGTTTTTCTTATACAATGATATTGTATCATTGAATTCAAATTTAATAGCATCCATTATACAGTGACCCACTTGTAACCTACTGTACAGCAGAGTGACATCCACTTACCCACCATTTTTAATTTGCATTTGGTATTTTGTTTCTTCTTCAGTTCGGCATCCACTCACGTGCACCAGTGACGTATGAGCAGTGAGCGCCGTTTCTCATCTTACAACAATAATAATATTTGACATTGTACCTAGATAGTCGTAAATGTAAATAATTATCGTAAATGTAGCATAGTACTCGTACAATCGATGACAATAGGTACCGATTGCGTGATGTAGGTACCGCTACAGTCGAGGCGTGTACCACAGTGTTGGCGTCCGAATTTTTTGAAATATTTAGGTATGAGCCGAAAAAACGAACTCCAAAATTTTTTACAATACGGTGTGAAACCGGGTAGGATCAATTTAGTCGATCTGATGCGAATGTAATATCGAATATTTTTTGTTGGCAGACATTTTTTAGATTCTGAGCGGAGCAAGGAAGCTAGTGGTTTTACAATGGTGTTTTTTTTTTTTTCTTTTTATATCCTGTATACAAAATTTCTACCAGAAGGAGTGCTTTGATTTCAACATATAGTACCTTATCTTTTAGCAAATTGGACCAAGATGGTACTTTAGAGAGGTCATTTTTCGATTTTCTCAATAGTTATTTAATGCTACGGGAAAAAGTACTGAAAAATTATGAAAAACCTCTTAAAATGGGATTTTAATTTCTAACAATTTGTTTATCACCGTAGCAACGAATAAAAAAAATAATTAATGACAATATAAAATATACAGACTGACAAACCGTCTCCGTTCAGGATTGTTTTTCTTATACAATGATATTATATCATTGAATTCAAGTTTAATACAATCCATTAAACAATGACCAACTTGTAACATACTGTACAGCTGAGCGACATCCACTTTTTTTTTTTTTTTGATAAAGGTAGGCAAACTTATGGATAATCTTGTATTACATTTTCAAATCTTAGATTTAAGAAGAACAATTTTTATGAATTCTCAAATTAAAATAATTAGCTGATTTTCGTGATTTTGTCTAAATTTGAACTTTAAATGCTTGTAAAAAAAAAACTGTGGCTATGGATTTTCGAATATTTTTGAAACGTCGATCATTGCAGCATTGTAGTAGGAACGGTTTTGAAGAACGAGTGATGGGTGGCTGGCAATAATAAACAGAGTTTGGTCTAAAACAAATATTGCGAATTCGTGTTGCAAATATGATATATTTCATTTAAAAATCCTGCGTATGCCACTGCAGTGTGTTATCTCCGCCTTATAATATAGGTATCACATACCAAAAACTGTTTTGCTCGAGAAGGCAACATTTTCAAAACAGAAAAAGGAGAGCGTAGACTGTGAAATATCTTTTTTATTTTTTCGATATCGGAACTTGGTTTCGGCGCCAGATATTTTTTATTGTGGTACTGAAATTATTTTCTGGTGGGGCATTTATGTATTGCTACTCTATCACCCACTAATTTTCTAATATCATATAATCAGAAATTATTGCTAAAAATGTTTTGGGTATAATACATATACTATATTTCTAAGAAATAAAAAAAAATAATTAAATAATTACCTAATTAATAAAATGTCTTTATTTACTTACACATTTTCAACATAATGGAATCCAAAGTAGGTATAAGGTATAGCCTAAAGTACGTATAATATGTTTTGGCTGGTACTGAATGAGCTCCATTCCCATTGCCTACTTGGTTCCCGTTTGAAAAAGGTATTTTACTAAAGTAAGTCGAATTGGTTCCCGTTTAATTATGCACATTTTCCTTCTTAATTGTATAGGTTTAGGACTGTGAACTTAAAAGTAGGCTTGGTTAAAAATGTGCTTTAATGTGTCTTATAAAAAAAATGATAGAATAAATAAAATATTAAATTTTTAATTTGGAAGTCAACTAGTCAACACTTAGGTTAGGTGTACAAAATATAAATAATAGTAATAAAAAATAAAAAAATACAATTTTTAAAATCGTTGATTTACAAATTTGAAGCAAACTTTCTTTAAGTATTCAATTCGCGTAAGCTTCTCATTAATGTACTCAGTCATACAATTTTCCAAGTATTTGTTATTTATTTTCTGTTTGCTAGTAAGTTTGCTAGTATTATTACTTCGAAATTTAATATAATTTAATGTCTGAACGATGTTTAAAGTCTCCATAAAATAAAATATATTAGGACGGGCACTTATAAATTCTTTATTCAGCTTTGAGTGGAACGATTCGCAACCATTTGTAGTCCTTTAAATATTTTTGTCAAATCTAGCCTAAATTTTCGGTGGAAAGATACTGTCAGTTATTATGTATGTATCAATGTATCATTAATGTAGTCAAAAAACTGATCCAATTTTGGGCAGCAAGGTTTTATGGCCATCAAATCATTATAAAAGCAGTCTTCGACGTCTTCGGGTGATAATAAGGGCAGTCCAAAAAATAGTTTCAGAAGTTGTCCGATTTCTGAAATATTATATTTAAATTTATTGGATTTATTGGAAATTTTTACGCACTCTGTTAATATAATTTTGAAGTAGTGACTCACTTTTACTGTTTGTAGCTATCTACTTGTGTATAATTTTAGATGGTCGATCTGTAATAATTTCGTCACATTTTCTTTTTAATGAATTTGTCACTTGTTGTCGCACAAGTTTACCATCGCCTTCTTTTTCGTGGTTATGTGTTATTCGAGACTGAACAGTGCTCACTTACATTATTGTCATTCGTACATGGGATATAGATTATAGACGATATACCATACAGCGATAAAAGTAAGTAGGTATATCTCCATCGTTATCAAAAATTATAATACTATTTTATCAATACACCATTAGGTACACCAAGAAGATACACCAAAAGTTACAAACTCAGGGTCTGTACATAAATGGCTCGATTGATTGAAACAGTATTACATTTTTTTCATTGTCTTAAAATGTTTGTGACAATTCCAGTGAGTAGTCGTAGCTGTGAAAGTATAGTTTTTTTAAAACTCAGCATTATAACAATCACAAGAAAGATTGGATGCTCTTCTTTTTTCGTTTGTAGAACAACAACTTTTAATTTGTATTGACTTTAATGATGTAATTGATGAGTTTAAACATTTGCTACCTAGTAATCTCAGACTTATATTTTTGTTTTACGTACTTAACTCTTACGAGTTCCAATATTCTAACTAATGTATAAATATTAAATACCTATTAATAATTTTGGTAGGTACTAGGTACTATAATGCTTATAGCCTATAGGTGTTATTTTATTACCTACGTGATGTTTAATATAATTATAAAAAGGTGTACAGCTGTACGGCTGTACAGTATGTTACAAGTGGGTCACTTTCAGGGGCGGACTGGCCCGGTCCGCTGGTCAGCAGTGCCGGAGCAATCGTCGGGACGAGCGGGGCACGTGCCCCGAGCCCGGCGATTTTGGGGCCCCGCCGGGGCCCCGATATTTATAGTTCTCCCACCTGAATGAAACCAAAAAAACATAAATTAAGTTAATTTTTGATCACGAGTCTTGGTATACCCAACATATTATACTATTATACTAACAACAAAAAGTATATTACCCAAAATACCCATGTATCACATTAAATTTAAGTTGATTTCTATACGTTCTACCGACTTATTTTAGTTGTTTATAATGATTGTTAAAACTAAAATGCTCGAAGGTTTTATCGTCGTTATTTGCTAATCGCATTTGATTTAGCCAATAATATGATCAAGTATAATATATAAAATATACTAATAGTTACCTACTTTATACGAGAGATATGAATAAAATACGTAAAGTATTCGATAAAAATTAGTGATACGGGTAGATTTGTTATCGGATTCCCAGGAGAATTCGAGTGACAGCCGACGGGCGACGACGTATAATTTTTGTTTCATATAACATTAGAACATATTTATTTTATATTTTTGAAGATAGCGAAGCAGGAGTGCTGACTGCTATTAAAAAAATTCATATATATTTCAACATAGCTCTTTGTATCTTAAGTAAGTAATTTTATAATTTATTTGTTTTAATCAGTCTTGTAGAGTATTCGAATCCAAGTATTTCAATACGTGTATTAAAATACTTTTTGAAGTATTTTTTGGTACCTATTCTAAATACAATGTTTTTAAAGTATTTTTTAAATATTCTGAATACTTTTTAAGAGTATTTTTAACATAATATAAATACTTGTATTTAAATACCACAAAATTCACTTTATTAATTATTTTTCACAACAATTTGGCATCAATAAAAATACTATTGTTTTCGTTGAAATAATATTAAAACGGCTTGATCTGTAAGTCTTAACTACAAGACTGGTTTTAATTTTACGGTCAATTTGATATTTCTGGTATCTTATGTAGTCATAATAAATATATAATTATATAAATAATCGATATTTAGCAATCAGTAAAATAATTTCGATTATGATTTATACGAAGAAATATTAATTTTCCGCCATTTAATTTATAAAAATGTTACACCAATTCAAGTACTTTCTGACATAAAAAAAAACCGAACGCATTTCCCAACTTGAATATTGCCTTACGAATTATGTTAACAATTCCGCTTACATCAGCTGGAGCAGAGAGTCGAGAGAGAACATTCTCAAAATTAAAACTTATAAAAACTTATTTACGAAGTACCATGTCACAACAAAGACTTACTGGACTTGCTACAATTCGTATAGAAGAAGAACTATCAGAACAACTAAATTATGAAGATATAATAAATGATTTTGCATCTAAAAAAGCTAGAAAAATTAAAGAATTATAACTGACAACATTTTGCTTTAACAATGTATTATGTATTTAAAATATAAATAACTCATTTTTTTAAACTTCGTTTATAAATATAAGTTATTACTTATCTACTAGTATTTTAACTTTACTTTTTAGTTTATTTTCTATGCAAATAATAATATGATTATACATTTATCATTGATTGTTTTGATTTTCTTTACATACCTACTTAATGTAAAATAATTTTTGGTTTTAAAATCGATGGACAAAATTATCTTTTGAATTAAATCTATTATTAATTTGGAATTGGGATGTAATGTATAAGATACGAATGAGGGCCAGAGGGCCCCACATTTTTTACTTGCCCCGGGCCCCGCAAAACCTAGCTCCGCCACTGCTGGTCAGCGATCGCGGACTGGCCTGTCGGCCGTAATATATAATTTTGCCCTGCATTATTATTTATTTATAAAAATAAAATATAAAATCAGACAAAAATGTATCTTATAATAATAATAATAATATTATGACGGAATTCTAAACACTCGATAATACACAATGCTTCTGCTGAAAATTAATTCACATTAATTTATTTTTGTTATCGGCTTATTCAATTTTCGTATCGTTCCGATTAAATCACTATACGGGCTTACGGGTTATGGCTATACGAGCTTCGCGCAGCACATATTATTATTATACAATATACATTATACATTTATACATATATTTGATGACGGAAGAACATAATAATATTATATCATGTATATTATACCCATTATCCATTGTTTATTTTTATTTTAAATACAAATACAGGGCCGTATTTGGACAATTTCCGCCCCGGGGCAACATATTTCCGCTGCCCCTCCCCCCCCCTCCCCCACCAAAAAAAAGATACTATTTCTTAAAAAGTAAAGTGTAACTATTTTGTTGTATACAATTTTGGTACAAAGAAAATTGAACCAACTACATAAACATAATAATCATAGGCGGTACTACGGGGGTGGCAGAGTAGGCAACTGCCCCTCCTGCGAACCGTACCTGTATTAATACATAATTCCTTAAATCTCGGTTTCCTAACTCTAAAAAAATATATTTTTTTTTTTTCAATACCAAATTTGTTGAGCGACGCGTGGAGTTATAAAATAATAAAATATACTGTACAAAAATTCATGTTATTTTTTTTAGTATGAGGTATTACTAGCCTAAAATTTGGACTAATATAGTATAATATGTCGATGGCGTAGCGCACAAGTGTGATAAGTGACATTTTTTTGAAAAATGAGTTAAGTGCATAATCAATTTAATTATACAATTCTGCACATTATGCCCAAACGTTGTAAGTGAATAGTTCATTATTTACTCCGATAAATTTCGTACAGTTCGTTACATTTTTGAATTTGTTATAACATCTCAAACTTTAAAATCGTTCTCCTGAACAATTACGAAAATGTCACTTATCACACTTGTGCGCTACGCCATCGATATATGGTTTTTTTTTAAATTTAAATGTTTTTATTATTTATATTTATAATTTTTATTTACAAAATTATTCAATGAGTAAATTGGAAGGGGTTTTATTGGGGTGAAGGGGAAGTCACCCATTAACGACCCCCCCCTTCCCAACATATAGTTAGATAGTTTAAATATTTTCTTGCCCCCCCTGCCAAGAGGGTCTAGTACCGCCTATGATAATAATATATTAATATGCTACTGTCACTTATATAATATTGGCGAATTAAATGTATATACAATATACACTATAATATTAAATACATATTATGTGCGTAATTTATTATTGTAAAATTTATTATGAATAATATTATATTATGAACATTAAACAAAATTCCTTCTATTATGGTTATTTATTTATATAGGAAAACCAATGTCAATTAAAGAAAATAGTTTTAAGTAAATAATGTATCATTTATTATTAAGTATTGTATTTGGTATTAATAATTATAATCTAAATAGGTATATAAATAACAATATATAAAAATATATAAAAAAAATGTATAACTTTCTCCTGGACTGAAGGTTTGAGAATAAAATTAAGGTGGGTAAGTGGATGTCGCTCTGCTGTACTGTAGGTCACAAGTGGGGCACTGTATAATGGATGGTATTAAATTTGAATGCAATGATATAATATCATTGTATAAGAAAAACGATTCTGAGCGAAGACGGTATGTCAGTCTAGGTTTAAGTCGTTTAAGACAAATTATATACATATCTATGGTATTAAAAAAAAATTGACCTATAATAAATTCCAAATTAATCATATCACATTATCACAATATCCATTAGGTACTTATAACATGTTATACATCTACATCAATAACAAACCCTGATACTATCATAGATATATAATAGTACACTTTAGAAGTTTCAAGTAGGTACCCACGAATAATATTATATAATCACAACAAAATAACTAGGTTTTTAATATGTAATTTCGTCCAAATTTGAACATAAAATGACTATAAAAATAAACTGTGATTTTACACAAGTATTAGCTATAAAAACTGAACATTTAATAATTTATTAATTACGATGATTAATAATTTTCGAGATTTTGAAAAATTCTGTCAAAATTCGATGTTTAAATGCTTATAAAAAAAAATTGTGCCTATGTATTTTTAATATTTTTCAACTGATATTGTAACAATATATCAGGAGACTTGTATTAAATTGTTACACTTTTTGGCCCAACAGATAAAACTTAATTGATAATCATAGAAAAAAAGACTAAAAAAATTGAAAAATGAAAATATCCGTAAACAGCTCAAAAAGAGTCAAAATATTTTAAAAATTGTATGGTGTATAGGAAATGCTAATATAAAAATTCAGTGAAATTTTCATGTATTCATAGTTATTCGTTTATGAATAACAACAAAATAAGGAAATCGCTACATGAAAAATCGAGTGAACATCCAATGTTGTAAAAATTTGAATTTCAAACGCTCATAAAAATTTAATTTTACTGTCCGGTAGAGATTTTTTATTGATAAAGGTAGACAAACTTATGAGTAATCTTGTATTACATTTTCAAATCTTAGATTTAAAAAGAAAAATTTTTGCGAATTCTTAACTCAAAATAATTTGCTAATTTTCGTGATTTTCGTGACTTTTGCATTCAACATTTCCTAACGATGAGTCGACGCCGTAAAAAAACAGTATACTGCTTGTAACAGTTCAAAAAAATGACAGGCTTCTTCACAACAATTTGCTGCACAACTACCAACCAAATTTAGAGAGTGTGCAGCACACGGAGAATACTCAGCTAGTGAATTAACCTCCTTGATTCTTGCCGTTCTTACGTTCAAAAACCCAATCTATTTATAAATAGTATGTTAATAATATAATTTATATTATTTTCCGACAAACTGATGTTAACAATATTATACCTTTTCGAGCTATAATAATGTTTTTAATAGAAGGTTAAAATAATAATTAAAATTATGTAAATTTATTTATTTTTTCTCAACAGTTAATATACAATAATAATTTATCAACATAAATTTGCCGCCCCCTAAATGGACTAAACAATTTGCCGCCCCGGGCAACAAGGTACACTTGCCCCCCCCTCAAATACGGCCCTGTACAAATATGAAATGTTATTTAATTCAAATTAAAAATGAGGCAACAGTTTTGAACGGCGTTTATTTTCCATCCAATAGGCAGAACAAAAACATCATTTATGAACTATCAGGTAAGAAATATATCATTTTAATAACTTGTAGACGGTATTATAGTAGTTGATTTGAATATTATCGTTATAGTTTGGCAATGTCATTGGTTATTTTAAAAGGTACCTATATGGCTATATACGACACAATTGTTGTCACGTAGTGAAACATAGTAAACATAGGTTTATCTTTAATAACTAGATAGGTAACTGGAAGAGGACGACATCGTTTTTTCTTCATATTAGTATGTAGGTATAGTCTAAGTCTAAACATTAATCATAATTCATAACTAATTCGTACCGAGTCATAACATATTATACAAAAAAATAGAAATAAAATTAATTTCTCTAAATAATTATTGAATTCAAACGACATAATATATTTTAATAAACGTATTACGGTCATGCATGGGGCCCGGCGCGAAAGCTTTATAACTACGAGACAACTGAAATTATATTGCTAGGTATAGACTATAAAAACTGAAAAATATAAAATAAATGTTAATTTTTTTCTTTGCTTAATTTCTTTAGACTTTAGTCACAATTATTGGATTTTGTTAATAAATAATATCAAACAATTTAAAAACTGAATTTATCTTAATATACAATTTATAATTTGTAAATTATAATATTTTATTACTAATTATTATTTTATATATTAAAATGCGCAGTGGCTTATTTAGGAATTTGTCATAGGGAGGGTCCAGATAATTTTCAGAAACAGAGCCACGGGGGCGAAGCCCCCACACCACCCATTTACTCTTTATTAAATAAATATACCATATTTATAAGACGATATAAAATGTTTGAGTTTTTAATTATTAAATAATAATATGTTATATGTACAAAACAAATTTTAAAAAAAAACGGGTAAGTGGATGTGTCGCTCTGCTGCTGTACAGTAGGTTACAAGTGGGTCAATGTATAATAGATTGTATTAAACTTGAACTCAATGATATAATATCATAATATCATTGTATAAGAAAAACGATTCTGAGCGGAGACAGTTTGTCAGTCTGGATATTTTATATTGTTATTGTTTAAAAGCCTGTAAGTTGAATTAATAATGAAATATTTTTTTTTTTATTCGTTTCTATGGTGATAGACAAAGCGTTAGAAATTAAAATCCCATTTTTAACGGTTTTTCGTAATTTTTCGGCATTAAATAACTATTGAGAAAATCGAAAAATGACTTCTCTAAAGTACCATCTTGATCCAATTTTCTAAAAGATAAGATACTATATGTCTATATAATATGTTGAAATCGAAGCACTCCTTCTGGTAGAAATTTTGTATACATGAAAAAAAAAAATAAACACCATTGTAAAACCAATAGATCCCTCACTCCTCTCAGA